GAGAGAGAGAGAGAGAGAGAGAGAGAGAGAGAGAGAGAGAGTGTGTTTAGTAAATATATATGCGTGTGTGTATATATATACATCTCACTAAAGGCATTAACACCATATGTAGACTAGAACTGTATTTTAGCAGGCAAGTACTGGCAGTTCTGTATAACAGAGTAGACTCTCCTTCACTAAATGTAGAATGAAATAAACCTTTACAACTTGATGGTGTTGTTTCCTATAGATTCTATACCATCATCACCTTGCGAAGCAATCTTATGTTAATAACAACACAATCCCACTAGTAAAAATGGCATCCTTCTCCACCACCTGTTACCTCATAACTGAGTTGTACTGAGCTTGATCATACATCAAATTATTGTATTTGGATATCTCAGTCAAACAGAACAGACAGGAAAGGTCAATTACACAAACCCAGTCACTATTATCAGGACAAAAGGGTGGAAATACATTAATAGTATTAAATATGTATGTTGAAACTGGAGCAGAACTGTTAGATAGAAATAAGATGATCTGGATATTTAATCATAATCTTATCAGTAATCACATTAAAATGAATTCAAAAGATGCAGTTCATACTGACACAGAATTTCCATGTTTGGTGGGCTAAGGATCCCAAATGTGAGGTTAGCCTAGGCTATACCACAGTGGGTTGCAGAAGTGTCACAAGAGCCTGTGTAAAAAAAAAAAAAAAGGAAAGGGAGGGTGACAGAAGGAGTAGGGGGGGCAGAAGAAGGGAGGGATGGATGGAGAGAGAAAAAAAGAGATGGGAGAAAGGGAGGGAGGGGGAGGAAAAGAAGTCCATTCTGCTAACAATGCTCACACCAATGTCATGCAAATGTCACACATTTAATAGGTAATTGATTCAAAATTTATTAATAAAATAATTTTTTAAATGGTCTCTGTTTTTGCACTAGTCTTAGATATATATGTGTGTTTTAAATTCCATTTAAACTGGCTGCATAACTGCTTCCTAACCATAGCTAGGTCTAGAGTTGGAGATTCAGGCTTCATCTTCAGGTTACAATCCAAATGTTCTTTCCCTAGAAAGATCGCCTGACTACCTTTCTGCAGATAACTTTCTAGCACTACTTTCTATTTGATGACCTGGTTAATTTCTTGCATGGTACATTATAGTCTGAAATATTCTTCTCTATTTACTCACTACATGGTATAAAAATGTAAGAAACCTGAGGGCAGGGATCTTGTGCTCAATATTTCATCTCCAGCAACTGGAATGACCAATAAACAAGAGAATTTAATAAGCATTTTTAATAAGCAACTGAAGTGTATAATTTCTGCTATGGTCTTTCCCTGTAACAAAATACTAAGAAATGTGGTTTTGTTATATTGAATTTTAAGCAACCATGTAAGAGTGCTCTTCTGAATTAAAAAAAAAAAACAATTATTCCCTATTAAGAATGTTAATATACAGATTCCTGAGGCCTAGGCTGCAACCTGTGCCAAGAGTGTGTCTGAGGGCCATGCCACTGCTGGGACCATTCTGATCAGGAGTGGCCTGTACTGTCACCTGGAGCTATAGTGTCATCTGGGCCAGGGATGCTGCTGGGGGCCATGTCTCAGTCCATGGCCTTACAGAAGCCAGAGTCTGAGTTGATGTCTGTGGCTCCTGTTACCACTGAGGGCCTTGCAGATGACTGGGGTCTGGTTAGCCACCTTAGACCATGCTGCTGGTCAGGGTCATACTTATCTGTGTGGCATGTGCTGCCACTGGGGCCATCCTCAGCTAAGCTGCTGCAGAGGGCCATGTCTGCGTCCATGGTCCTGCTATAGCTGGGGCCTGCGATGATACCCATGGCCTGTGTTAGCACAGAGGGTCATTGGAATCATGCTGTGCTGAGCCAGCCCCACCCTTCACTGGCCCTGCCCTCACTGAAGACTGTTGCAGGAGAGCTAATCCCACCCTCAGGGGAGAGCTAGCCCCCTGCACTTGGGAAAGATGGCCCTACCCCTCACCACAGGTGTGCACCTCATCTGAGCAGCACACTAGAACTGACCTTGCTGTGGTGGAAATAGGTGAGTCAGCCCTGAGGGCATGAGAACAGGAGAGCTGGCCCTGCTTCCTTGCCTCATCTCCCCTCTACAGCAATCAGGAGAGAGGGCTCTGCACCTTGCCTGGGCAAAACAGTAGAGCTGGCTCTGGGGATATGAGTGCCAGGAGCGGGGAGTGTGGGGGGTGGACTGGGGGGTCTTGGGGGAGTGGGGGGTGTCCA